GCGAGGTCCAGGAGTGAATGGGGAGGGAGGGTGGGCAGCAGAGATTCTGAAACCGAGCGAGAGCTTTTCCACAAGTGCAGACCCACCCAGGAGTCAAGGAAGATGAAGACGCGATGCACCCTTGGGTTTGGCAACGAGAGACATTGGCAGGAGGGACAGAAGCTAGACTGGGGTGGGGGCAGGAAGGAGGGAGTTGCTGCAGGGGAGACGCTCCAGGTGCTTCACACCATGGAGCAGGGAGGCTGCAGGAGAAGCTGGAGGTGGCTGGTGTTCGGGGTGGAGGTGGCCTGATGTGGGGTTGGTTGCTTATTGCACAGGGGAAAGATTCCAGAATGTTTGCGGGAAGGACCCAGTCTGGAAGAAGTCAATATGGGAGGAAAGAGAGGTCATTCCTGCAGGAGGTCCCTGAAAAGGGCTGGGGTTGGGAGCACAGGAAAGTTTCCTGAGCTGCAGCTGGTGGTTTTGGGAGTGGGAGGTTGAGGGAGTTGCTGTCGGTGGCGTCTAATTCCCTGGCGGAGTGGTAGCAAAGGCCCTCTGGGAGGTGGGGGTGCAGTCATGGCAGCCCTGGCTGATTCTAGAGGGTGTCTGATGGTCTCTCATCTTTGGAGAACACTGCTCTTGACCTTAGAGGCCAGTACGTGGCCCAAGGTCACCCAGCTGTTGGGTGATCCAAGTGCTGGGCCTCGAATCTAGAGCCTGCCCAGGGCTGGGCGTCCACAGTCCCATCCCCTTACCCTGCAGGGTGCGACATCCTGCTGCACCTGGTGGCCCTACTTGGCTTCATGCTACCAGGGGATGCGGAAGAGGCTTTTGTCTGCGTCCTCCCAGTGCGACTCTGCGTGGCACTCCCTATTGATCTGTGCCACCAGTCAGTTGTGGAGGTGCAGGGACCTCTGGCTTCCGCTGTGAGCTGCCTGTTGTCAGGGACCTTCCCTGCCTTCTGCCACAGACCACTAGCTAGGGAAACTCAGTTTGCTGGGTGGTGGGGGGCAGATCCTGGGCTTGCGGCTGGACACACACGGGTCAGGGATCACCGGGCCACCTGGATGGTACAGAGGCCACAAAAGTGAATGTTTGGGTGAGCAGGATTTCACTTTCTGTTCTGTCTCCTCTCCTGGGGGCTCGTTCCTTTAACCCTTTCCCATGGCAACCTGGCCTGGACTGTGTCCAGAGCTTATAGGCAGAGTAGCCTGGGCTCTGCTGTCCTGGGAGGAGGGCCCCAACAGGCACCCAGAAAAGCAGCTCTGCCCCACCCCCCACACCTGTTATCCACTTTTCCCAGCCCACCTGGAAACGTGTCAGTCTCTTTTCAGGACCTGGACTGTCCACAGTGCCTTCCACACTAACTCTTACCATGATTGGGAGGTGGTGGCTGGCATCAAATGCACCCTCACTACCTCGATTCTAGACCTGCGGAATCAGGCTTTCTGGGCAGGAAGCCCAGGAAACCACACTTTAATGAGTTCCCCGGTGGGGTTCTGATGCAGGTGGTCCATGCACCATACTTATTTCCTTAATAGTTGAGTCCCCATTTCCTGACTGCTCATCACAGTCCTGGGTCGGGCTAAACACCTTCCTGCAGTGTCTCTATGGTTCTCACATCAGCATAGGAAGCTGGCAAAATGAACTATTTTAACGTCAAGAAGACAGGCTCAGAGAGGTCACAGCTCTCTAGCAAGGTCATGGAGCCAGTGGGTGGGGCAGCCAGGATCCAAGCTGTCTCTCCACTCCCAGAGCCAAGGTGTCTAAACAGCACCCCATGCTGCCTCCTGACAGCCACACTTGCAGTTTGTGGATGCTTGGGGGGTCTCTGATCCCCTAAACGTCTGTAATTTTTCATGTCTATGCATTTTTCTGGGGTATCTTTTATGAAACTGTCAAAGGGGATTTGTGATGTGAAAGAGCTCAAGTTGCTCAGAATGCTCCACCCCCTTGCTATGTACATGAGGAACCTGAGCTTCTGGGAGAAAAGCCACTCTGACTGCAGTGGGCACAGAGCTGGGCACCTAGCCGGCACTGACCAGCGACTGAGAGCACCGCCCCCCCTGTGGGCCTGTTGGGAGGCTTCCCTCATGCCTCCTTCCCCCAGCCCCCTTCTCCACCTGCCACCTACTTCTGACACTTCTGTGGCTACAGCAGGGACTCAAACTAAGGCCTGCAAGGCTCTAGCGAGGCCCAAAGCATTTCATAGAATTAAACACAGAGTGACAATTACATCTCAGCAGGAGTCACGCTTGTGCCAAAGGATCCCTTCATTTTTTCCAAGTCACAGAGGGTAGTCATTAAGGGGTGGGGTCTGCGTCCAGACTGCCTGAGTTCACATCCTGGCCCCACCAGCCGGTAGCTGGGGACCTTGGGCATCAGCCTCGGGTTCCTCACCTGGTAAATAGCAACACTTCCTTCACAGGTTTGCTTGGGGATTCAGGGTGGTCAGGTGAAGTGTCCAGCACAGTGCCTGGAGGGAGTGCGACTTTGCTGATGTTGTTGAGTCTGAGTATGGTGAGGCAATGCTGGGAGGGGAGTAGACGCACCTGGAGCATCAGCTCAAGGTGCTTTGATTTGTCCTATGGATGACAGAAGCCGGAGGCTTTCTAGAAGGGGAAAACACATTGGAGGCAGACAGGGGTTTTAAACCGGGTGGATGTGGGACACTCCCCAGCCGGAGGGCCTCGGCTCTCTGCCCTCTGGTGAGTCCAACCCACTCTTCACACTCCCCCCTGAGCCAGGACCCCTCCCCTAATGTTGTCTCTGCCTGGAATGTTGCCCCCTGAGAGCACAATGGTCCTCTTCACCGGGATGCTTTCTCTCTTGTTTACCTGGTGTCTTTCCTACCACAGTGTCAGCAGCATGATGGCAGTGGGAACTCAGTGGACATGTGCTGAAGGAGTGAGGAGCAGGAGGTTGCGTGGCAGGAAAGGTGTTTTTTTGGCTCATCACCCACTCCAGCGCTGGCCTCTGTGACCCCTCCCAGCCCTGTGCACAGTGCCTGGTGCGCAGTGAGAGCTCCATCCAGGTGGCTATTGGGTTTAGCTACTTAGCCTCCTCTCAGTTTGGGGTTGATCTTAGTTTAGGAAAAATCGGCTCCAGTGACCTCTGCTTAACCTGAGAGCCAGCTGCCGCTTCGTCGGGTGCCCTGGTCCCCACATCTGGGGAGGGCAGGGCCATTCCCTTTAGTGGGAGGTGGGGGGAGGGGGATTCTCCCTGCCAGAAACATCCAAAGCCAGAAGCTCCTTCCTAGCCACTGTCATAGGACTCACACTAGTTGACATGCAGCCTCCTGCTCCAGCTGTGTGTCTTCTGGCAAGCTGATGGACCTCTGAGCCGCAGCTTCCTCCCGGAGGATTAAAGGGACTGCAGCAAACGGCCAGGTGTAAGGGAGGCACTAGCTGGCACGCCCCGCTAGTTTGTGACAGGCAAGGGGAGGGGCCGTCGGGGAGAGCCAGAGAAGGGTTCAGAGGGGGGGGCTCAGGAGTCTTGCCAGGAGACATCTCAGGGAGAGAT